AAGTGGCAAAAGTATTGAGTATTGTTTGACATGTATGAGCCTGCAAATCAAAGTGTTATTTCAGAGTTTTGTTTAGTAGTAGGATAGCCTTAAATGGGAGTGAGGAAAAAAGAGGAGGGGGAAAAAAGGAAGGAAAGAAATCAGGAGATAAAACCCTTATAAATTAAACCTAGGCTTAGCCTTAAACTTTTAGTGGAATGAGCATTTGCTGTGGACAGCGTTACACATTCTGTACTTCTGATGAGGGCAGTGAAACTAAACAATATTAAGGGTTTTTTTTAAGGTGTTATTTTTTGTCGATGTTTTAAAAGACTGGGCATTTGACAATGTCGGTTGCTTTGAAAGCTATTCTCCAGTTTCATTCTTAGGCAGGATATACTTCCCATACCTATTAACAGTAGCTGGATCTGGATTTTAAATAACTGGTGCTGAAATTTATAGTTAAATGATGTAAGGACCATTGCTTTATAAATGTTTCTTGTTTTATAGGCTGTGGGTCCCATTTACCAAAGAAATCATGTAGACATAGAACTACATTCCTTTCTTTAATAAGAAAAAGTTAAGTAGAAAGTAAACTTGGAAGAGAAGTCACACTAGCAGTGCAAAACCAATTATTCTTCAAGATGCCTTGGAAATCTGTGTTTCCAATCTGGATGCATATGGAAGAAGATCCATTAATCAGACTAGATTCCAAACTCACTGGGGGGTTTCTGGTATTTATCTGGCATCATATCCTGGTTGTACTCTATTTCCTGTTTAAAGCCAGGGTCACACACTGTACTAAATATATGTTTCCATGTGTCCCTCTTTCTGGGGCAGTGCCGTTTCGGGGTGTTCTTGCCTACCAGCTACTTATTCCTGTACCATCTCCCCAGTCATGCTGATAAAACTGTGGGCTGAGCAGATAGACTGAGAAATGGTTAAAAGTGATTTTTATGGTTACTTCAAACGCAGCTCTGCTCACTGGCAGAACTGAGGAGGAAGGGTGTAGGGGAGAAGTTACATAAGCCAGCCTTGCTGCTGGAAAGAAAAGGTTATGTGGGATCTCCTGAAGCTGCTGCTGCCACAGGGGGAAAGCATTATGTGGAGCTGAAAAGTGAAAGAAGTTTATTGCGGAATGTGCCAGACAAATACCATCAGGATAAGTACAAGCTATCATTTCCTAGTGTTTTATCCAGCTTCTAATACATGGGAGCAAGTTACAGAGGCTGCCAACTGCAGTTGCATAATTCTGTTATACAGGTTAGATCCCCCCTGCATTCAGATGAATGTTGAACTGTAAATCATGAGTGCCTCTGATTTACAAGAATGTTTATTGCATAGTGTATAATGCAAAATCTATTTTATAAATAATGACGATCATTGAAAAGGGAAGCTAAGTGAAGCAATATTTGTGTTAACTGTAAACAGGCGTTACTAAATCCTCTAGTTGTATGGTCAGCAGTTTCCCAATGCTCTTCAGTCTGTATTATGCTAATTATTTTGGCATTGTCTGAATTAAAAAATGAAAATAATAGTTGCATATTGCTCAACTCAACATATGATGTAAAGGACTGTGGGACATAATCAAACTGCTGTCCTTTAGTACAAACATTGTTTCTGCAAAGGATTAGGTTGACTGTAATATTAAAAGAGCTAGAGTAAGATTCCCTGGTAAGTGAGGACTCATAATCACTTTGGAAGATGTGTAATGCTAATGCAGCTTGCAAGTCTGATACCTCATTGGCCTCTTTTCCTGTCCACTTTGTGTACCTGGTGTAACAGATGTGGTTTTTTGTTGGCCATTTCCATAAGACTTCTGCTAGGTCATCACTTACTGAAAATAGACATCAAGATGTTGATACGAAACACATATTAATTCTCCCAGAATTTTTATAGCTTTGGTCTTTCAATGACTGGTACTTGTATGCTGCATTGCTTTGAAGTGCAATAGAAAGCTGGAAGGTCAGTAAGTGTTTTTTAATACTTTCTCTGTTACTACAACAAATATGCCTTTCCATGAAGAATATGAGGCCTACCATCTGAAACATTTGCACTATGCTTTAAAACGTTTCATTAAACACAGAGACAGCTTTTTGCTCAGTATACATTTTTAGGTGGTACTGTAACTGGCTTTGTGATTTAAGTCTTCATTGTGACTAGATTTATATTTCCTTTTAAACCAAGTCCACAAGTGTGGCTCATTTGTCTGGTTAAAATGCATTCTTTAGCTACTAGGCATCTTTTAATCCATCCACAGCCTGTTCTTCTTTTTCTCTTCTCAGTAATATGTTGAATGTAACAGTGAAAATAGGCATAGTTCTGGGAAAAAGGCCTGCTGCAACACTTGTGCACTGTTTGTTACTTGCAATGTAATTATTTTTTTTTTTGTGATTTGATCTTTCTTTTCTTAGAAGATGTATATATTTTCTAAATGATTTCTTTGTGTATATAAGGTATGTTCTTTAATGAAGAAAAGCAATGCAATAAGGAGCTTTGCACAGTTTGTTCTCCAACAAAATACATTTGAAAAAAAAAAAAATCACCTGCCTAAAGATGCAATTGTTTCAACTTCTCAGTAACTTGACTTGAAAGTAATGCTTGAATTTTGATTAAAACCAGAGATGATTAGTAAGGGCATAGAATTACTTGCCACTGAGCTTTTTCAGTTTCTTGCAGCATACCAAATCCCTTAATTAGCTGTTAAGAAAGATTTCTGTAATAAATTCAGGGATTGCATAAAAAATTTTGACAATTTTATTGTTCAGGTGCTTGAGAGTATCTGTAACAAGATGCATGAGATTTTCTTTCATTGAGGAAGTGTCCCCGTCAAGCAAACTTTTTCTTCATGGGTTCAAGGAAAAATAAAAATGCTGCAATACATCAGAAGTCTGCAACTACCACTCTACATGCAGCAGATTAGAGAAAGAAGAAAACTTCACCAGGTTTGGAATTCTTTATGACCTGCACTTTATTATAAAGCCGTTTTGCAACTTCAATCAGCAATCAATCATTAATGTTATTTTATTTAGTAAAGAATTTCATTTGGGGAAAAAAAAAGGTACCTTGTAACAGCTTATTTTTGAATGTTTCAAAACTAGAATGACATATAAACTGTTGATACATCCCCTGTACATCATGTTTAAAGCGGTTTTATGTAGTTATCAGGTTTGTTTTGTTTAGATATATGTATCAAACTGGAACTTTTTTCAACTGTAAATATATTGTTTTGTTAAATAAAGTCATGTAAAGTTACCTTAATCACCTATTTTCATTGTAATTCCGAAATTAAAAATTCAAGTACCCGTCTGTTTCTTCACAGGCTTCTTTAGCAATTTTTGTCTGTCCAAAATCAGGACTTTTGGACATTTAAGTATTGCAGGGGAAGGACTTTTTGGTGATGCTTTCCAAGTTCTTGTGTTAAAATACCTGTTATATTACATGTGATATTTGAAAGATTTGATACTTACGGTGCCCATAGTTTAATCCATTTCATATGCCTTTCTCTGGAGGAGGTCTGAGATCTGATAAATTTATACAAAAAATAGATGTAAATATATTTTTGTGAGATGTGCAGAACTCAGAAATGCCTGAATCCTTTCGGTGTTTTAAAAGAAGAAATCCTGGTCTATTGCAAGTTTCATAATCACATGGCATTTTTGTGCTCAATTTACAGCATTACTGTTTTAATTTTTACCTTGTCCGACCTTCAGATTAAAGTGGAAATGCTTCCTGTTGCTTACTTAACTGAAAAGAGGTTAAAGCAGCAAATAAAATATAAATAAACGTGGGGAGGAGAAGACAGTATCTGTGCAACAGGACTGTGTGGGGAATGTAGTCAAAGACTAGGCTGCCACGATTCTAGTTTCTCTCTTCCTTGCACTTAGTTTCTATAGGCCTATACCATTTTGATACTAATAGAGCTTTATGTTGTCTATATTACAGGAGTTGCACAAAATTGTTCAAAATTAGATTTACTTTTCCTCACTTGTTTCTCAGTACTAATTTCAGTCGTTTGAAGAGATGTGAAATACTTTCCTGCATGCCAGCACATAAAATTAGGAAGCAAAAAGACATTTTTCTGTGCTGCTTCCTGATGGAATGTTTTCCTGTATTTATAGAAGGAAAATGGAGGAAAGTTTGATCTCCAATCTCAGGGTGCTTTGGAAGGCTGAGGTAGCAGCAGGTTGTCTCAACAACTTGGTGCTGAAAAAAAAAGTCCTAGAGACAGTTTGTGAAGTTTAAGCCAATGTCTTAGTATTTGTTTAGTAGAAATATTCAGTTCAGGGAATATGCCATCAACCTCATTGGCACCCGAAATTCTTGCATTCTCCAGATGTCAAACATGCAGCAGTGAAAAGCATCTAAGATTTACTTTCTCGGCTTCTCCCTTTATCTGTCTATATTTGTTGCTTAACATGTTTAAGAAGTTGAAGGACAGTTTATATCTCTTAAGCCAAAAGCAGCAAGAAGCATAACAATTCCTGACAGGAAAATTCTTAAGAAGTCAAAACAGGTAAAAGTAACTTTTCTTAGGGAGATGACTGCTCACCATCCTTAATTCTTACTTATTTATGAAAACAGTTTTGTGGAACATCAGGCAGCTACTTGACCTGTGCAATAGCCACTCTTTCAGCAGAAGAGCTCACTTTCAGTAACAAAGCTTAAGATGAACGGTACCGATTTTGGTGTCTTTTTTTAAAGTAAGTGGTTGACAGTTGTCTCCTTTTACTATCCAGCAGCAACAGAGGTAGATCTGCTGGTATTTTGTGAAAAGTTTCTGAATACTAGTTGTGTAATGTCTCTTCATGAACAGAGTGAGCTGCTGAGATAGAGTACTCCAGTCGTTAGCAGAACAAGAGCCTGCACTGGTCCCCCGTGTATATGCAGTCGTCCTGCAGAACTTCGAGGACGTTAGAAGACTATCATCAAATTGCTACTGCATGATTGCAGTGAGAAATTATTGATCTCTCTTTTCACTGTGATGTAAGAACAAGATTTGAACCTTCAATAGTGTAATAACCACTTTAATTATGTTTTGTCTTTTAAATATCCTGGCAGTTCAGAAAACGTAGTTCAGAGATGATTTAAGAGAGGAAGGTGTAAGCCATTGCTGGAAACATCTTAATGTAAGTTCATCTACTTTTTATCCCCATATAAGTGCATTCAGTGACTTGTGTGCTTTGCTTCTTAATTGTGTTTTTTGCATCTTAAGTTGCTTATGCGACTTAATTTAGAAATAGAACCAGCAGCTCAAACACAGCTTATCAATACTGGTCCTATGGGGTCTAATTCCAACCTGCAGTGGAAAACCAAAAGACCCCATTCTTACTCTTTCCCACTGGGATGTGCTGCTTTTCCTGCAAAATTCACAACCGTTGAACACTTCAATCTGGGCCTTTAATACCCAACTCTGACTGCCAGAAATGGGACTAAAGTTTGCTGGTCTAGGCAAAGTAGTGGTATCATGCATAGAAATTAACAATAAGGTGGGACTGATTCAGTAATCGGGCACATCAGCCAGTGATGGCCTATAAGGAGCAGAGAAAGTTGCAGTTTCTTCAGTAATGAGAACTCAGTATGTCAGAGCTCCACCATTTTACTGGCCTAAGATGTTTCTATGTTCTTTACATCCATCCCATGCCATAAATCAAAAGTAATGCCGCAGCAGCAAGAGCTGTGGGATATAGATCAGTCTCATAGCCGCTATTTGCCATGGGAGAACTGGAGTTTAAAGAACATACTCTTTTGAAAGGGTAAGCTGCTTCCTGTTACTAAAGCTCTGTGAGCTGCAGAGTCATAAATGTAAATGTTTTTTGCTGCCTCCCCTTCAATTTTTTTTTTTTTTCTGGAATTCTGATGCTCTATAGTTGAGCAGTGCAGAGGAGACTGGAACAGTGATGGGCTTATGCTATTGTCTACCTCTTCACAGACATGAATAAGGACAAGGTTGAGTACCCTCTAAAACTAAAAGCTGAAAGACCAAAAAAATTCAAAACTCTTAGTTTTGAGTGGTAAGATTCATGTATATATTTATACTATGAAAATAGTTCTTGAAGTAATAAACATTTCTTGTGTACCACCAGGGCAAAATTGGCAGCTACAGAATTGGTGAATGATTTGGTGCTTCTATATTATATTGACTGTATGCAGGTCATGTCCAGTATTAAGAATAAGCTGCTCTCCGGTTCTCAGCCCTATGTGTGAAGATCACCCCTTGCAATGGGGCAGTATTTATTGTACGATATTTATTGTACAGATGAAGTCGATACAAAGTTAAAAAATCCATACAGATGGTTGCAGAATCAGGATGTGAGTTACGGGATGGGGAGTGCTCTGCTTATACAACACTGCCATGGCCTTAAAGGACTGAATGCTAAGATCGTTTTCTGAAAGTGTAGACTTTTGACTGAGGGTTTTTTTGTTTAAGACAGGCACATGTATGTGGTTTCATTCAAAATGAGTAACTACTGTAATCTCTTTGTTGAATAAACAATACTGAGAGGTCACTTAGAAGTATGCTTTCAGGAGTATGTGTAACATATTAAAGACTTATCAGAAAGCATGTTAAGAATTAGAATTATGGAAAACTCTTTTGTTTATTTCTTTACGATGCTTTTCTTGGAATTGGCTTCCTTGATTTTTTCTGAATTCCCCTACAAGAAAGGATCAGCCTAGCATAGTGATGTTCCAGTGTTTCCAGTTGCTGGCTTAGCAGCTCTGCAGTATCTACCTTCTCCTCGAAGTCCCGAAGCAGTATCTCATTTCCAATCAACCCACATTCCTGCTGCAATTTCAAATTGTTTCTCCGCAGCCTGTCTCTGGCCTGTTTTGTTTTGGTCAGATTGTCTCCCTCCTGTGACAAGACAGTCTCGATGTCCATCAGTTCAGCCTTTCGGCCTTGATTTTCAGCTTCCACAAACTGTAGTTTTTCCCTGAACTGGCTGAAAATATGTACTGTGTTTGATACGTTCTTTTTGAGCTTCTGGATTTCATCACCGAGATCATCAATCTTTTTGTTGTGTTTCTGATTCTCTTTCCTCATGTGCTCAAAGTCCACAAAAAGTTGACTGTCTACCAGTTCTCCCTGAGCTTTCAAGATGGTTTCAAGGTTTGGGATTTCATGCTTCAGCTTGATATGTTCCACACGGACCTAGAGGAGTAGAAACAAAAGAATTACTCCTTTAATCCCTGCCTTGCCAGGGAAGAAGTGCTTCCGTCTAAAGTAAATCATGACAATAAGCAACCCTCAAGGGGATAAAGCATCGCACAGCTTCTGTTCTTCAATGGCGAGCGGTGTATGTTAGGGGAACAGCGCCAAGTGCTGGCTTTTTCAGAAATCTTTTCGACAGGAGAAGAGAGAGGGAGGAGCGGGACGACCGGGGCCGGAGCCTCACCTCTCGCACCCGCTGCTCTTTGTCCCGCTCCCTGGCCTGGATGCGGGCGGCCGCTTCTGCCGCGCCGCCGTCCCGCCGCCGCCCTGGGC